TGAACAACGTTGTACCACACCATGTGAGCGGTGCTGCAAATAATGTCATGTTATAGGGATTGATTATTTGTATTATACTAAGTACTATGAGTATGCTTCTGAAGGAATTTATAGACTCTAGCCAGTAATAACTAGCATGTTCAACTTTATGTAGTCTTATATTCTGTTTAAGATGGAGTCAACCGTCCATTCTACGTCATTTAATTAGATGATAGTCAAATTCTGATTCAGACTAAAGCTTGATTCCACACAGTATTTTTTGGTACATGTATGGAATTTTCAGCATGTGATATCGGTAGCCCAAATTTTGCAGGCCGACCATAGATATCAGGTGTGCGTCGGTAGGGGATCGAACCCCGGACCTTGTGCATGTTTGGCGAGAGTCATAACCACTGTGCCACCGACGCACAATTAGCAGTTTTCAGGTATCCTCGCTAATGTACCTCGGTAAGATATGGAGAGAACTAATCACTCGACGTCATTTGGGTATATGATAGGCAAATCAGCAATTTTCAGGTATCCTTGTTACTGTAAATCACGAAAATATTCCGTGTTCCATGCAATGACGTCAGTGTAAAGCAATGTATAAGGCGTGTCTACTGTTTTATGAATTTAATATTTTTATGAATTAAAAGTCAATCTGATCGAAGAATACTCTTTTCAATAATTTCAATAATAATATTTTCATTTCAGTATGTCTGAATGAATTGAAAGCTAAACACACACTGAGTATACTTCTGTATTTGCACCGAGATTCTGATGACCTTTCACCGAGCAGTAGTCACATTATGCTTCCTGTAACTAGTTTACTAATGTGAACATTATAAGCATCCTAACCACAAACACAATGCTCGAAATAGTTAGTATTGAGCAATAAAATACATTTTAGAAGATGCATATTCTCATTCTAATTGTCGTCATGAAATTCATTCAAATATTAGGAAATCAGTGAAGTTATTTTTTCAGACGGTAAGTTTCTAGGTGGTTGGATAGGACTGATATCATTCAGAGTATCATTGTAAATTATGGAGTACTGAACTGCTGTTCGACCCTAGTCCAAAACTCTTCAGCACAACGCACCTAAAGGCCACCGAGATACCACCGAGATCTCAGGGGCTTGAGATTGCGAAGTGACCCTGTTTAGCTTTTAGGCACTTGATGAACTGATACGAGTGTTTCATGATATGCTCTTAATTCATAGCGCCAATATCATTGGCGACTAAGTGCTGATGAGCAGCCACAAACTAAAAAAAAAAAGAAAAAATAAAGCCGTTTAGTAATTCCTGATTTCCAAATGTTTTCTGACAGACATGATTGTGTGATGACTTTCATCTTTGCAGTATTTGTTCACAATATCCAATGACTGACTACTATTCTTGCTTGTCATGCATTGTGTCAAACAATAAACCGAACGATTGAAGATAAAGGAATAAGAATACATTGGTGCTATTTCTACTGCCTTCGTCTCAACAACAACAACAACAACAACAGCAAATTCGATTTCACTCTGTTCTATGCAGTCTTGTTCACAGCTGGCTACAAGACTGCTCGTAAAATTCCATTTCATCCTCACACGAAACCCTCACAATCCACAAGAGGACATGATGCATGATGTTACTCAACAGTCTTTTCAGTAAATGTCCTATCTATCTCAGTCATCTTCTGTTATTTTGATGGGCTAAACGCTTTTAGATGACTCGTTACAGTGTTCGTTATCGCTTATCATTTCTGTTCAAATATCTGGTCTTCACTGTCGAACTAACATTGACAGGTGCTGAGGATAAACTGCACAAAGCTTTCGCATGTGACACACCGAGTCTCTGAAGTATGGAGAAAAAAAACACTGAGCTGACTGAAATGTTGAGGATTTAGCTGATTTCCTCGGTGATTAGTTTACAAACCGGTCCTAAATCCAGAAATAATAGAGGAACATAGAAGTGCGGCTTGCATTCATACCACAGAAAATTGCCTCGATAGCTGACGGTAATTCAAAACACTCATACACATATATAAATATCATGAAAACAACTTGATTTAGAGAAAAAATTCTGTTTTTCTATTCATTTAATCGAATAGAACTATAAACCTATTCACAAACATTCGATTATACACAATCCACAAACATTAATTAATTAATTAGTAAAGGTAGGAGGCAGATGTGGCATAGATAGTGGTAAACAATGTGCCTACAAGACATAAGCACAGATACCCAGTTGTTATTAATAGAGAAATGAATGTAGGTGAATAAAGATGTGTTTTTGTTGATGGGGTAGCTTTATCATGTTGACCTGTTTTCTAGTAGAGGCTTAGCGTAATTTTTATCAGTGCGAGAAAGTCTCACAATTCTCTTTCGGTGTCGCTCACAGACGCACACACATTCATCTGTCTGAATGCATGTCTGTCTATCCATCTCGATCTCCATTTATCCCTCTCCCTTAAAACGAAAACACGACAGGCACACATGCGAATTGCACAGACATACATGAACATACACTACTCCTCCTGCTCCTCCTCCTCCTCACAAAAGGCTCTCAGGTAGCATATAGCATACTCAACAGTCTTACAGTGATCATCATTATTTGAAGCTCACACAAAGTGTAGGGGAAGAACAAACCTCTTACACCCAAAAGACACGCGCACACATGCACAAACACATAAAAAACACGGAGTGAATCATACTCACCCACTCTCACCACATTTCCAACTACAAATTCATCACTCACTCTCTTTTTCTCTGTCCATTTTACTATTTCACTATTACCTCTGTCCTATTATGGTGACTAGTCTTCAGTATTCATCACTGTAGTAATATACAGTACACCTACATATCTGTGATATCTGAATCTCAACCAATGACGAATCGTCAATTTCTGCAGTCACCATATCTATCCACTATTCATGGTGTCTTCTCAATGCTATGTAGCTTGTGTCAATTCACTCGATAATGCCTACACCAGACAAACACTAACCAGCTGACAATCACCTCGCCTCATGTAATCGAATCTGAATTCATATTCAGCCATCTTTCCATGCATTCATCAGAAAGCTGACGAACTGGCATCCCCAATGAGACTCAGATAAGTAGACATGCATTCATCGAGCGAGTAGTGCATCAGTGATATGTGATTTTTACTTTGTCATGCTTTCTCTACTCGTCAACTGTGAAGTCATCGATTCTCCCGTTAGCTTAACTTTCGCGTCTGATCGGTTGCAACCACTACCTTGGTAACATGAGATGACAGCGAAGTGTCGAAATCAACTGAAGTCCGAAATCACATTAATTATTAGGCAGTCGTAGTACACATGAGGAGAGCAGAGTATGTGCATACACTGTGACACGCCATAGTTGGATTCCACCCTACAAGGAAGAAATGCACTAGATGATAAAAGCACACTCTAATGAATTAATTAATTAATTATTTAATACTGTATCAGTGTTGGATTTCACTACTCACGAAATTCTCCTATTGTGGAATGGATAGTGGTGATAAAGTCCTGACTGGCAGAAATCAAGGCTTCCTTCAGTCAACACTGACAGGCATCACTCGACCAATCTCGTCGTTCGGGTTCCTGCTCATACGTTCTCACTCTATGCGGTGAGTGTCTGACTGTCAGACTGCCTGACTCACTGACCACTGACTTTATCCGCCCTGTCCCATAAATATTCATCAGCATGTGAAGGATAACCCATCTATAATTCATACACAATCAGCGACACATTTCGTCATCACTAGGATAACCAAGGAACAAGTATATTTCAGTCATCACTAAAAGGCATTTTCACCTCTCTCTTCCCATCTCTCAGTGTTTTAGAGATTAACATCCGAGCAATTTGATGGTGGTTATGATGATAAGCATGCATTCAACAATCAATTGACTACGAACGTATGTATTTATTGACGTATTCACATGTGCCTGCAATTATCATTCGCTTAACACTCATCCATCCATCCATGCATTCATTCATTCATTCGATAAATTCATGAACAAACCACTGACACAAACACACATTCACACATAGACAAATACCTGGAAAGATACATGCAAGAACTCGCCGAAAATCACCCTGTGACATGGCAGATTTTGCAAATGTGATCGTGTGGAAGTTTTTGCAGATTTTGACTATCAGGGACGAGAGTCGTGTTTGACGATTGGAAATCCTCTCTACGCATTCATTCGCCCACCATCTAGTTGTCAATTGCATATGTCGCTTTCGCAGGAAAAAACAACATCTCTCCAACTCGACTATGATATAATGGGCAACTCGTTGACTTTTGTACACGATTTAGTTTAGTGTTAACAGAGTCTGCATTTCACTGTCTCTCCTTTAATTCGACTAGATTCAGGTATACACGAAATTCAAGTTATTCTCTATCCTGCTTGAAATTTCTGACAGGTTTCATACTCACCGTTATCCCAATAATTAGGAATTTCAATTTGGTGGCAATAGGAGCTCGCAAAACATACTGTTGACTTAATTACATGGAATAAAAATGTGAGGCTTTAAATTTCGTCATTCTATGACAATGATATGTCTTCATAACACGGATGACGAATTTGCAGCATTCGAACGACGCATCATTTGACTGAGGATATTTACATTCAAAATATTATGCTGTACACTGTGGTTAACGAAATAACCTATAAACAACCAAACCACCCTGCCATCAATCTTCACGTCGCTAGATCTTCACAAGTCTTCTTTGAATTTGCGAGTATCCTTGAAATGCGAGTATCAAATAGCTTGAAAATATAGAGGTGAAGGGATTTCTTCGTGTGTAAACGTGGTTTGTATTCTCTGTGGTAAACAATAAAACTTCTCCTCATTTACACTTCCTCGCAGCTAATCAAAACACTTCAACAGTAAAAACGATAATTCTCGAGTTGTGCAGTAGTGGTTAGCCTATTTGTTGCAATTAGTCTCTTCATTCTCACATAACTCACTCACTCTACTAGAATAAAAAGACCACATTTTTAAAAGGCCTTACGAAGGAAAATTTTATATTTAATTAAACAAAAAAAGAACAGATAAGCAAACAATGTGTTCCTTTCACCAATACTGCTTGAATTTCCCTGGGAATCGAATTCAATTTCCTGCAGCTGAAACAAAATGAAACCGGAAGCAAAATACAACTGTATTGAAAGTAGACACCTATCTTTTACAGCAGAAATTAGTGATGACAAGTTTTTATTTAATCAACAATGACACTATCCCTTAAGGTTATACTTCCAGTGAAGATTAAAACACACAACGGGTGCGTACATTGTTCACTTGCTTCTAAATTCTAATTCCCGTCACAGGAAAACTGATATGAGAAGCAACACCTGAATATACGATGTTCTCAGCAGTTATTTCGGACGAGATATTGTGCACAGGCGGTCAACTGTGGTCATGTGACCAGTCAGCCAGTAGGTGGTAGTTCATGACGTATTTGTAAAGTGATGACACAAACGAAAAATGAGAACGGACAGAATTTTAGTGTTATTTATTTCCCAAGCAATCATCTATTAGCTGACTTCAGCTAACAGCATAACCCATCTTCAAGTTCATATTCAATTGCTCAGTTAGTTAAAAATTTAAAATACACTCAGAATCTAAGCAGAAACTCACTTCAATAAGACTGTTTGGCTTCTTCTTTCATTTCAGCCAGGATCCAGTTTATTCTATCTTCTGGGGTTTGATCTAGGCAGTTTGAAATGATTTCAGTATTTCAACTTACATTTCAAAAATTCAACCCTCTTGATTTCCAAACGTTCTATTGATTTAGCAAGTTGCACTGAAACAGCGAACAGATTGTCAGTGTGATGTATCAGTAGTAGTTTTAATGTCATGCTTCAACAAGATGGAAAAAAGCTCAAATCTCAATGTATTCGATCATATCATCTAGTTTCAATGAAACTGCTGTTATCCTGAACTTCACAAAATATATGATTATTGATTAAGTTACTGAAGCTTTATCCGAATAGGTTGGAGCAGTTGATTTGACGCTTTTGTGCATTGATATTTCAGACCTAATTGTCAGCAATTTGCGGATTCTGATATAAGTGTGACTAGTTATATTGTTAATTTTTTCTCTGATATAGCCGTATGTGGTATTAGCGACTACGAAAACTTGCTGATATACACGTCATTAGGCACACAGACTACTTCTGTCTCATTTACGAAACGAAAATGAAATCCCCTGAAAAGTGCATTCATCACTAGAACTATGAAATATCAAATGTGATCAAATCAAATAACTATGTAAAATTACATGTGGCTTCGGCTAAATCAGTACGAGCCTTCCAATAGGCTTCTGTAATTTCAGCATCATTCGATGAGCCTGAAATGAATAACAACTCATTATCAAATTCCTAGTCGCATACGTACTTGACAGTATTGAAGAGAAATACGTCATAGAAATCCATTCAGTGTGGAATGAGATATGTGTAAGTAATTTACGCGCTTCATATTTTCAATTACTGAATGAGTTCCTACTTTTACTTATCATCTGATTGATCGGCCGTCTTCAAATTCACATCATCTTCAAACTACAGATCTTGGAAAACGAGTCACTGCGCTAATTCAAAATGTTCAGTAACATTTTCGCTCATATTTGTTCATACTTCATTCCATGATGGCTTGTTGACGATCAAATTTTTCATTATTTGTAGCACCGAGTTAGTCACCATAATCACATCATAATGATCTCATTCTCTGTTAAACATGAAGTTCTGAAGATTTTTGTTGTGTAAGTGTCATTTTATTTTCAATCAAATACGAATCGCATGAAGCTTAGTGATGAATACAACTTTAACTTGGGATTATTTTAAGCAGGATAAAAGTGTTCGCTCACCATCTGTTGTTATTTCTTTATCCCATGTTCGCAAATAATCTAAGTAATAATAATAATACAATCGTATGATATGAGAGATAAATTGTCCTGGACACGTCATTCAGTTTCGAACACTGACATTTTGCGTGAACTTCAACTAACTAATCAAATATCGAATTTTATTCTACGATAGTGTAAACTATTCCACTTGTACAGCAAGTGGAACCTTGGAATAAAAACTTATATTTTGAGAAGATATACACTACATCTATTCTTCAGTGTGCTTCCCAATATCAAGCAAAGTGTAAGTCGATCTTAATTCCGTGTCATTCGTACAGCTGAGAATGGAAATTACTGAATAGTTGTGGTAAATTATGATTATTATTATACGTCAGTGTGTTGACGATCAATTAAACACGCCTACTTATTGTACATGATCATCATCACGTTTATCCAGCGGTAGCGGTGAATCGTATTAAACCTGCCGATAGCTTCATTGTGCTTTAAAGTAAACTAATCGAAAATTGTTGAATATGTATTCACTCACTTGCAGTATTTCTGTATGCTATCGATGCGATGACTGCTCTCCTTTCCAACACTCTAAGGTAAGCTAAGTAAACAAGAAGTGTTGAATGATATTCTGTCTGTTGGTCAGGAAACGTGAATGTCATATTTTTATCATCATCATACTGAATGCAATATTGATGTAGACGATCTGAAAACGTTTCATAATAATAATAGAGAAGATTTGGTTAACTGGCAGAGCTTTCGTCGTCCTTCTGGACAACATTTTCAGTGCAATATTTGCCATGAATTGAAATGAAGATATTGTCCAGAAGGACGAAGAAAGCTTTTCAACTAAACCAACCAGCTCAGAGAACACTAATAACTACAAATGTTTCATAATAATTTGATTATTTCTCAACACATTTTTTTCTTAAAAAAACTCTGAATTTTCAGACGCACACTCAACTCTTCACGAAAATAGTCTCGACTCTTTGGTGGTGAATTTGCACCTTCTTATAATTCTGAGAAGTTATAGTATCAGTGGTGAGAAAAAATCTAATACAACCCAGTCAATGTGTCTGTTATCGATGATTAAATAGAGCACCTAACGATTAACAATAAACACAATGATGAGTGTATTTTCATGCCAACAGTTTATTATTCGTGAACGTAGTGTGCAATACAAATTGACAGAGTCAGTTTACCTCTGGATTTTTCAAATGCTTCCTTCGCTTTCGCAAAGTCGTTCCTTATCATTTCAATTTGGGCTATAATTTACAAAGTCAAAAAGTATGAAATGTTTTTTGTGTGTGTTTTCTCTAACATGAAATAGCCATATAAACGCAATGGCTACTGACTGTTAGAATACATGGCTATCCCATCGGTAATGTCTAACTTACAAGGTGACATTCTGAATGGTTACCAATATCAGTAAAACAAATATATTCACGAGGTGTAAACTGCATTTGTACACATCTTCAATGTTGACTTTGTCCAATATGCAACAGCCATCGCTTCCATAGAATATTAAACTTTTATACAATAATTTGTCAAATCATTGAATGGTTAATCGTGTCAGTGGTTTCTCAAGCTACAAGTTGTATTTATAAGGTGATGCTACACTTTAGGGGGGCTCTGTATGTTATGAACTGATTTGGCCTGTACCAATGATACGATTTATCGGTAGAATATAAAGAGACGTTCACCAGCATTTTAAACATCAAATAGCAGGAAGATGGATTTTATGTCAGAGAGAGAGAGAGCAGATTATTCAGCGTTGCGATGAAACATGAGAGACGCGAAAGGAACACAAAGGAATGCAATATAAAGGATAGAAGTAGCTCAGCACGGAAGATCTGTGCAAATGGTGGTTTGAAGATAAGGTGTACATTATTTGGCAATTTGGAGATACTAAATTCCATATAAGCATTGCTTTACCAAGTCTCTTGTCGTCTACCATTACACTGATACTTCACTACGTGAATATATTTTTCTCCACTATTTCCGGGTAAACTATAGTTCGCAAGGCGTGGATGTTGACAAACGCAGAAACACACACGTTTCACACTGAATAAAAGTAAAACCACTCAATAAACTTTGTACTTTTCGGTGAAAAGATGTGAAGAACAGTGTTCATTTTCAGAGATTTCACCACACATTGCTCATCAAGGCAGTCTTTCAGGGAACGAAGTCACGATAGAAATCCACCTATCTAGAGTTTGATATTGTGACAAAAGTGTGTTATGTATCATTACTAAATACGCTGACGCTAAACAAATCCGGGCAGCCAGACTGTTCAGATGTGTGCAAACAGCTATTACACATATTTTAACAACTCGTGAATTGATTTCAACAATCAACTAGTTTCTGAATCTGACTGTCATGAAGGATGTTCAGATATGGCTTGTTACGAATAAATATCAATTGTGAATATGCATAATAATTACTTCAGAGAAACTACTATTAACAAAATGACGAGATATATTTCAACCTGGTTAATAAGATGAATTACAAAGTGAAAGAAAACCAACCTTCGTCTTTCTTCAAATCGCCTGATTTCTCCGCAACATAATTACCTGCAATTGATAAATCGCACGGTCGCTCAACCTCCAGGTATATGATGAATCCAACATCAAGCAATCTATTGAAATACGGTTTCCGCTGACGTCAATTTAAATTACACCAATACACAGGTTAACTTGCTTACTTGGTACTCTCAGTTATTTGGAGAGCGCGTCAGTGCACAAATATATTCCCATCATCCTCTGTCAAGTGTGAATATCAGTGCTGATGAAAAAATCGTTGAAATTGAAGAAGCCTCAATATTCACACGATTGTGAACATAAACCAGAAATATGAAGAACACTCTGACAAAATGTCGGTTTCCCCTGCGATGTCACCAGTTCATGCGTGATTTTATTACAGACAATCAGTATGTGATGCATCACATTTCCCTTCTCGCTTCTGAATAAGATGTCACACTCGTGAGTGTCATGTTCAAGGGAAAAAAACATCGGCCTTCCATTGTGCTGTGGTAAATTTTGTGTAAGAATGAAAAGTTTTGCTGTAGCATAACGCACTCAGCCTTATTACAGAAAAATAACATTCACTTTCTTACGAAATATTAAATAACTTAATTCCTTTCTATAGAATAATGATAATAATGATAAAAGATTTACCTTCTGTAATATCGAGATTTTTTCGAATTTCCCATTTACTTGAAATACTGGTGTTCAACATACTGTATAATCCCTCATGAACTGTAGGAATAAAGGAAAATTCACCAGGGTAGCTTTGTAAGATATGAATATTTGAGCTGTGAAGTGTTCCTCCAACATGACGACAGTGGTAATTTATCTAGATGTCCTTCCTTATCTAGATGACCTAGTTGTAGGCATCCAAGAGATTCCAGTGGTTTCAATTTACGTATGCATAACGCCTTGTGGATGTGAACTGGTTTCTATGGATGCGTAGGAACCAAAACCACTACATATATACACAAATACGAAAATCATCGTCATCATCATCATCATTATTGACTATAATGTCATCGGTCAATAGAGAGATAACCTAGAAATCTTCTGAAATTTTCAAGAAATCTTCCTCAGGGAATTTTGCTCATAAATGTATGAGGTTGAGGAGCAGATGTGAATGCAGATTTGAAAGATGACTCGGAACAAACACCAGTTCAAAATGTTGTGTACATTTTTCACAGAACTGGCAACTCAATTTCAACGGACCATCGAATTTTAGATTACAAATTGTAGTTAAGAAAAATCAATCATACCGAAAACATTGTGGTCAATAGCAGTATCTTCTTCCAATGCCTTCTTGTATTCATCTACAAAGAAAGGAAGCAGTGTTTCGTATATATTTAATTCCCCTAGTAGGCAAAAATTTGCAGTGTATATTTGAACACTGTGATAGTATGAACGCGTGAATCAAGTCCATCTTTAAACAGATGACATTTCGAGAAGTATTTAACCTTCAAAATCATCCTTAATCCATTTGCAGATATAACAGTAAGGTACACGTCTCTCAACAGATATCACGAATGACTGTTGCCACTTGGATTGATTTCATTTGAAGAAAGACAAATCATGCATAGATATAATTTCACAATACTGAATCGTCTTGAAACATGAGAAAGAATGGCAGTCAACTGGTTACCGTGTCCTTATCGAATCTACGGATACTTTCGACAGCATCGACCATGAAGTAACTTGTTTGCTTCACCGACACTGCTAAGTGTCACATATACCGACGCATCTCACTCAGTAGGCATACGATTATGCCACATGAAAAATTCTTCACAGCGGATAGTTCACTGAATCCGTTTTGGTTAAGATAAGGCCGTCGATTAGCACTCATGCTATTGTTCTAGACAGAAAGATTCGTTGTGAGTGAGCAAATCGATGTTTCACCTAGGAAGGCAGAGAACGCATAAGATTAGTAGTTTCATAATGTAACTGAATAGCTCTGGACTTATTCAACCAATCGATATTTGATGAAAATAGAGTAGAAATAAGTAGTCAAAGGTTTCATGTCGTATAAATTAACTTGAGATATCTATGGACTATAAATTATATTCGGAATGTTATCAATGATGCATGCTGTTTCATTGTATCATGTATTGAACAAGCTTATATTGAAGAGGACATTGTAGAGAAAGTGGATGATGGGGGAAAATGTTTCGCTATTTAATACGAAATATTGAATGCGTCACTAGTGGTTGTCATGACGAGAAATTTCACAACATTTTAATAAATCGATTAGACTGTATTCCTATAGCCTAAAGATAACAGCTTTACTTCAATTGTTACACAGGTCAAATAAAATAGACATGAATATTTTCAGTGAAATCTGTCACACCAAAGGATTTCATTCATTCCACAAAAAATTAGAAGATGCTTTTGCCTTCAGATACAAAATAATTTTGTCACATGTATTCTGTTTATTACTTAACGATGAAATAACCTACCGTTATAAAGATTAACGAGCTTCTTATCTTTGGCACCAATGGCTGTACAATTGTAGATAATTTTGAATTATAATTTACTTGTACTCGGAAGCATGTTAAGTAAGGGACAGTAAGAAAGTGCGAAATATGAACTAAGGTTTTCCAGACAAGAAAAGTACAGCAAAGCAACTTGTTTGAGGCGTTACATAAGTTTTCCGTTTTTGACGTTACTGTTTCTGCATTGGAAATAATATTGATGAAAAGTTAATCAACGACATTTATTCTGCAAACGGACTGGTGTAGTGACATTTTATATTGAAATTCAGTATTTAATTCTTTGCGCTTTGGAAAGATGTGTACTGGAGTACTTTACAAAAGTGTATATCAAAACTCATCCCTCAACTTGTTTCTCCATAATATTTTGCAGACTGCTTCCTGAGAGAATTGACTGTGCTCTACTGACACCTAGATAACACTCAAATAACTACAACCTTTGATGATTTATTTGTGGATTAGTTGATTTCTTTTAGTCATCTCCACTGCAGTTCATTTGAATTCATAATCAATCATGTTTATCTTCAGTGAACATTCATGCATCTAATGGAAACATACACATATTTCGACTCACAAACATCATGGAATCTATTAATTGCATGACAGGACTTACATTCAAGAAATTCCTTCGCCCATTTACTTTGATATAAATGTTCAAGTCTCAGAATTTCTGTGAAAAAGCAAAAATTAGTGGATGCCGTATTGTTGGTTGAAAAACAGGTTATTAACTGAGAGAATTTCGACAACAGAAATGATGTTGTGCATATACTTTTCCTCATTGTCACCTGCATATCAGATGTTGAAATTCTGCATTCTCTTCTTCTCAGGTTATCACAACGCCTTTTTGTCTTACTGGTCTTGCATGTTGAAGAAGTTTTGAGATCATCACGTTTTGTGTGATGTAGGTTTTTGTGAAATGATTGATCATTTGTTTGTTGATTACAAAATAATTACCCTTCGCAAGCGGTGCTAGCACATCACTGTCCTACTTTCCTCCAACAGAAACAATCCCCATTCTTTGCTGGTTTTGATGCTCGATTCAAATTAGTGTTCATCCACTCACAGGCACACAACACACACACACACACACTAAAACAAACTAGATTCCGTTGCTGCACGAAGTGATTTTGATTTTTTGATTTTTGATTTACAGAGTAGAAGAAATAATTCTACAGATAACTGCAAGTTTTAATGTACATGACCTCAAAAAACAACATCAAAATGCAAAAATGGAAGCAGACAAGAAGAAAAGTTACCAACCCTTAGTAGGTTGGGAAGTTGTGGATGAAAAACATGAGCACGATGGACCCTTTACAAACTTCTGTATCCTCGCCAGTTGTTTCCTTCAGATAACCATAAAACACACAAAATGATGTAGGTTTCATCAATTGGACACTTCAATTACAGAAAATCCTCATCTCACTCTCAGGAATGTGATAACTAACCATGATGGACATAAAATCCATAAGTGAATCAGAAGTGACATATTGACAAGTGAAGCGGAATTCATAGCAGGGAAGGAAGACCTTCGAATACTACATCAGTTTAACACGTCAGTAGTCTGGATGAAACTACTGAAGCTAAAAAAGTGTAGAAACGATGAAAACTCTCCAATAGACCACCACTTGCGAATCGTGTAGAAATACGATCAATGGTTCACACATTTCTCCCAGTGAGTAATTTTCCTCGAACAAAGGCAGACTTTTCGAATACCTTACTGTCACTGGAATCCGTAAAGGCGACACAACTAGATGGAATTCCTTGAGAAGCTCGTCGTTGGACTTACGCCACTGGTGCATAAGCTTTTGAAGGGAGGTTACATGCTGATTAGAATGATAGAAAACCTTATCAAACTTTCAAAGAAGGATGACTTAAGCCTCCGCACAAACTGGATGAGAATCATGCTTCTAATTCATCCAAGAAAAAAATTAGCTCGTGTCATCCTTGAGAGACTAAATGATGCTAAGAAAAGAGGTTGATTCACGAAAAGTGATGCATTTTTCAGATCAAATCACAACGCTTGGCTTCATCATCGAAAAGAGCACGTGATTGTAATTAAACAAATATCTCAACTTCATATGCTCTCAAAAGACTTCCAACAGCCTTCTCGACTGCAGAGTGCGGTTCCCCAAACACCTACCTGAATATGGAACATGTCAAGAGATGCACAGTGGAAAGCATAGTTAAATCGATTGCCAACAGTGAAGAAGTTCTTGAGCAGCAAGACGATGGTCATAGGTCGTTGCAACAAAAGGACTCAAGGAGGTTTGAAATTAGCCAAAGGTTCATGTCTAAACTCCCACAAACTGGAAGATCTGCGGGTGAAGACAAACACGGTGGCCGAAACAGAAGTCAGGGGAGACACATCTAAAGGTGAGCATACGGACAATAGAGGTGATGAACAACACCGACTTATGGCAATGGCAGCATCATTTCAAGGATGAGGACGTCTCAGTCAGCTTAGGCCGTAAAAGCAGGACAGAATTTCATCGCTTTCAAATCAGCAGGCGAGTTTTTTCTACACTTTTTCAGGGGCAAAACCTGGGTCTTCAACACTGACGTCAAAACAGTGCCTTTACATGATTTAGAGGCTTATCGTGTTAACAAAAGCATTAATAACAGTCAGCTTCAAACGTGTGCCTGAATTTAATGCCTTAGTAATGAAAGAAAACAATAGCAAAAAGGGAGTTTGATGACAGACCAATCATGAATCTACTCCTCAAGGAAATGCAAACTTAAATGCATTGAGGAGACTATTGATTGGCATCAAATGCCAGTCCGTTTCGGGGAAATCAAATGGGAAATGTGGAGGTGAGCGGTTGTACGACAGTGATATGGTGAAGATTATGTTGGCGAGAAAGTTGTTGAGGCAGCTACAAGAAATGTTAAGAGAAGGATGATATCATGATATGCAGCCGAGGTGCTATTTTCCACTCGTAACTCAGAAGGGTATTTATAATAATAATAATAATAATCTGAAAAAGAAGCAGATAGTGACTAAGAGAGCAGCAGCAGACAACACTGAGCCCCAAAAAACTTCTCCAGCCGAAATGGCTCCCACCACTATTAAGTTCACACAGAGAATCTCCCACTGAATGCACAAGTAATTCCATTGATTTCAATGGTGTGCTTCACATCACCAGACAGGGATGACAGTTCACGCGACAGCGAAGATATGAAGGTGAATGGGTCTCTATTGATGCAAAATGTTTCGTGTCACACACTAGACAGTCATTATTTCAAACATAAGAATCAGTCAACGTTGTTCTGTTACCATAAATGTTATCACGAATAGACCAGGAGGTGATTTCCATCTGTGTCGCTTGATTACAAACCAACCAGGTACGCAGTCATCCTCAAAAGGACCACAAGTGTGCATCTTTGATTCATAAGAACAAGTAATGCTACAAAATGCATGAAATGTAAAAAAAACTATTGATTGAAAAAAGACCTGATCATATATGTACGGCTTATATCATCTACATGAGGCATTTAGATATCTTGATAAAATTACTCACCACGTTTCATTGTTTGTTCTGCATTCTGAGGTTTTTCATGTGTCTGAATTTCAGTCATGAGAACTAAAACGTACAAGGCGGTGGAAATAGGTGTGAAGTATGTGGATTACTTAATGCTTGACCAAAGGTTGTGATAGATAAAACGTCGACCTTTAGGCAACATGAAATCATGTTATCTGTCTTTGTTAGCTAATTATTCATGAAGTGTGACTGTCTTGCGTGCACTATAAACACATCTCCAGGTAAATGTAGATATTTTTATCACAATCTGCTGGTAACCAGTACTAAATGATTAGGCCTCTTAGTCTCGTTTACAATACTGTCTAACTGCTATTCAACTCATCTCAGTATGTAATATCTACATAAATGCAAATTGTTCTCCTAACGATTACCAAGCTTCCTGAAATAAAGGAGATACTATTTCATGCGTAAAATCGGTATTTTCCCGCTCTACTTTGCAATAACGTTTTGCAAGTTGTTATATTCAGGTGACATTACATACATCTTCTGATGTGAGAAATATATCTCCTCGAATTTACACTGTAACGTGCATCTGTAAAAGAGATTTTTAAAAGCTACTCAGTATTGCCAGCGATTGAATTTGTTGATTAGCCGTCTACGGATCAAGGCAAGAGACATAAGTAGTAGGAGGAGGAAGTGAACATGAATGATTATGGAACAGTCTAAAGGGAAGAGACAACCATAAGATAATTTTCGGTGAAATAAACACATACATTTATACTGCAGAGTTTTGTGGTATGTTTTTCTGTAGCTTTCTAATGAATCCGACCAATCATCTGAAATATAAAAAAGATTTTCCTAGACCTATTAAATCAACTCTGCATAATTTACTAAGTCAAACAAAATTCACACAAAAATAAAATCCTTTGCTATGATGAATTCGAATATGAAACGATTGCTTCTTGCTGAATACGTGATATTAGAAATCAGAAAATTGGTGAGTCGACTACCCTATTCAGTAAGTTAGCTGTGGTTATAGTGGGAAGCCGTGAGCAGTAGGTTAAAGTAGGTTGAACGTTAGGCAGTATAACTCACCTAAGCAGACATTGCGATGTTGGCGCACAACTGGCAGACATCAGAATCAGAAAGCCATTGGAACGGGTCCCACTGGCTTAATCTTCTACGAGCTTGCCAACCTTGTGACCACAAGGTGCTCAGTTCGAACTCTGTCAGTGGGTGCGTACTGATGAAGAGTCCGAAACATGGATAAGACAACTGTCTAACACTCCTAGATTTTCCTATCGTTTTCTAGCGGATATCTGCTCATGATGAAATCCTCCAAAAAGTCAAACAAAATCCCGACAAAACCAGCCATCTCTGAAGTCAACAAACTAAAGACAAACATCCCCCTAATCAAATGTTTCTCTCATTTCACTATGCATTCTACTACGTAGAGGTAAAACCGCTCTGGATTATTCATTTTTGTCAGAAGATACCTACACCTCTAATAATAACCATGGTGGTATTGATTTTTCTACGCTGGATAGATGTTGTCCTGAGTGAATGATTTGCAGTATGCTACAATGGTAAACCATAATCGAGATAATTATCAAAGCCGTCTCCAGCAGCCATTATTAGTCTGTCAGAAAAAAGGCTGTTGAATAGAACAAGCTGTAGCAAACACTTACATCGATAAAAAGACCTTTTGGCTACATCTGAAAATAAATGGAGGACAACAGCTCAAATAAGATTCAAGTGTTTCCTGTTCAGAAAAAGCACACCAATCACAAACATCTAAACGTTGCACTGACTGAGAAAACAAGTAACTAAAAGGAGGGAAATGCACAAAGGATCAGCACAAACACTGATCATCAAATGTGTTGGCTCGCATGAATCACTGGATCGATTGAAGTTGCACCCAAAACAATGCAGCTTACTTTCTTCAATTCTCCTTGTCCTAACCAATCACATATGTTGACTTTCACGGAAACGAAGTAAAATGTAACTTAAGGAATTATTCTATGCCTCTTTAGATGTAACGGCGATGCGTGGAATGCTACAAAAATGATTGAAATTCAAAAGTGTTCACAAATCACCTGTCTTCTAGCATAGAATAATGACTTGAATTATTAGACAAAACTCAATTGTGCTTCAAAGAATAACCAAAACATTAGGGACACTAAATTTTGAATAGAAAAACGAATAAATTATTCTGAATGAGAGTTAACAGGGTAAAAGTCTACAAAGAGGAGAAGCATCTGTAAAGTGGTGATATCATAACAACATGCAAGTCGCATTGGAAATCACACAGAAAAAGTGAAATGTGTAATTAAATGCAAGAAGGGATAAATCAGCAGCCGACAAAATAGAAATTCTGTGAGAAGAAGAAACGCAATAGTAAGTCTCGAAGGAGAAAGAGGAAATTCAGCCAATAAATTTAATAAATATCCTTAGAGAGAGCATCAATCAAAAAAATAGTTCAATTAACAAACACGTTAACATAGACGAAATATACCAAGTAATATAAAGTAAAACAGGTGATCAGAAAGCTTAAGATCCAAGTCAATAAAAAATGGTCAAACCATATGTAAAGATGGTTTCCAGGAGACGAAATTATATCACTCATGAAGAAATTTAAAAACCATTTCACTTTTTGCTAAATACTGCGCTGAAGTTGTTGTCCAGAAGGGCGACAAAAGCTTCGCAACTAAACCAACCAGCTCAGAGAACACTATTAATAGCAAATCATCCACCTGAGCTACAAATCTTCTGTATTACACGTCTATCTGTTCAACACTATATATTTACATCAATCTTTCTATACAGCTGTCTATCTGTTGACCGTTTTTATCCGTCGACTGAATTCGCATATCTTTCTCAGTAGCGGCACTGACTCACGCATCACACACGATCATTGATAAGCCGGATTTTATGAAGATGGGATGAACAATGACCAGTAGGCCTGGTGTCAGTTCTCACACAAATACTTACTAAGCGACGTTAACTCATCATCACATGTCCTTCCCGAATGGCTAATAGGCTAATGCATGGAAAAAGGATGTGAAGAAATCTTGTTGTGGAGACAGGAGGGTACAGCGGCGTTTGCTATGTGATAAGATGAAACTGAATTGACTCATTTTATTTTGATATATATAGATATATATTTGGAGTATTAAGCATTGGAGTTTTATTTGTTAAATTTTCTTTCACTTCTACACCTTCCAAGAAAAGGCATACAAACCAATCGACGGTGTTGCGGTAGGGAGTCCTCTGGGGCCCCTGTTAGCAGATATATATTCATGTCGAAGTTAGAGAAACAAATGCAAGGTATGCTTGGAGAATTTATGCTATAAAAACGTTATGTAGATGATATTCTTATGATTGGTAATAATAGAAAATCAATTGAAAACTTTATTACCCTATCTAATCACATTCATTCAAATATTCGAGTGACTTCCGAAAGAGAATGGAATAACTAACTAGGTTTCCTGGATATTACTATGACTAGGAGAGATGATGGTACGATTCAGCGATTAATTTTTCGTAAACAGACATGGAGTGGACAATATCTTCCTTTTACCAGTTTTGTTTCCATCTAGTATAAACGTTCCCTAGTGAAATGTTTGTTCTCAAGGGCACGAAAAATATGCACGAGTGACACAGTGAAGGATGAGATTCAACATATACATAAGGTTTTATTAGCTAATAGTTATCCGGAGATCTTTATCACTGGTCACAGTAAAGAAAGACAACATCTCGAAAAGACAGCTTCTGTACCAAAGAAAGCTGTCTTTATTAACCTACCATTCAAGGGTGACCAGATTATGCAGTTGGCAGCCTAAAGACTTCGGTCTGCTATCAAACGCACATTCTACACCGCCACATCTCTTTTTCTCATTTGCCGAACATTTTTGATCCCTGTGACTACCTACGATTAAAGGACGAAATTCTGCGGACTCTACTTCAAACTGTATCTACAAGTTCACCTGCAGCTGCGCTGACATCTCTATAGGTAGAACTAACAGAATGTTCCAATGTCGTCGAAAAGAACATGTTCCAAAATGGCTACTAAATCATATAGAAAATCCCAATGCAATTAATCTGAATGGAAATCCAGCATCAGTCATTGCAAAACACTTACTAATGTTAGGTCACAAAATCAATATTAATGACTGTTTCACAATTATTTCACATAACTCTAATTCAAGGTTGGTTATTGAAGGTGATGGAAGCACTTTGGGGGATTAATCACATACAGCCTAACCTGTGTGTACAAAAATCAATAGACTTCAATCTTCGCCTACCCTGGACTGCATGACCTATCTTAATATGATTGGTCATTAGTATGTAGTTTTGTGTTTTTTATTTAACTGAGTAATTGTCATGAACTTTGTTTTATTTTATTAATGTGAACCATGTTAGTTGTAAAGCGGTTGTAAAGAAACTACGGAATGACGATATCATCTCGCGGCGAAATTTGTCTTCTTAATGCCTTATTCAAATGAAAATTCGTTGTAACTTTTTTACTCATTTTTCTTGTTTTCTAACTTCTGTTTTCATTAATATTTTAACCTTCGTATTTTCTGAAATATTGACGATTTTAGGTTTTTATTCCACTTTGTTCCACTCAGCTTTTTATTTGAATCTGGCATACCCTTCGGCTTCATCTTTCTGAACTTCATCTTTGAAGACCTCTCACGTGTCATTTCTCAAGACTCATAAACTTTAGTGTATTTATTTTTCAGGCATATCTCTCTCACTGTATGCAGAGTTTTCAGTGGAGGAGGAGTTCTACAAATGAATTGATGAATTCATTAAAAAATCCTACTTCATTTTGCTCTTTTTTAATACATATCAGGAAATAGTAAAAACGCTTTCAGAAAATGACAGATGAAAAGATTAGTGAATGAACATAAAGAGTAACACACACACACACACACACTACACATACTATAGGAAAGACTGTGGTCAACACAAGATGCTTCTATATTCTGATTACACCTATCCTTAGTTTAACTAACCACAAATGTCTTTCAGCTGTAGAGAATTTTTTTTAATTCTCTAACTCATATTTTGCTGTTTAACTTGTATTAAATGCAATTAATTTAATGAACGAAATATTCCCATATTGAGTCATAAGAAAAAGGCACAAACAGCGAAGAAGAAAATTTTAACCCTTTTCGACGATTCATTTCCATGAGCTGCTGTACAATCGTAATTATAATTAAACACAAAAGTTTTTTTGACCAATCAGATACTGGTAAACATTTTTCGTTGAAAATTCTACTACATTATGTGTGGTGTAAGAAGGGATGACTAATTGGAAGTTAGAAAAGAGACAGAAGTTGGCATGACCTAATAAGTGTGAGATAATGACTAATCAATAAGCTAGTGTAGAATGGACAGGAACTAGTGGAAAGGCTATACAGTAGTTTTGTATAAGATCTGTGTGAGAAAGCAATGTTATTAATGAACAGTAATAGAGTGGTAATAAAATGTGGATGGAGGGAATAGTAATAATAATAAAAGTATCAAGAACAGTAATAATAATAATAATACTAAATAATAGTGAACTAAATATTAAAAGAGAGGAGAAAAATTATAGTAAGAAATTTACTCTAGCCATGGTAGGGCTAGAGAATGTATGTTTCGTTTTTGTATGCATAGGTCCGGTTTTAGGTCACGAATAGCTAATGCCTCAGCTATGTACAGATGTCGTATCCAAGGTCCTTTTGTACGATATTGAGGGACTCTGTGTACCACTGTGAAGCATTCGTGTGAGGGTGCTCGATGTCCGGAGATAACAAGGTGTGCGAGGATTGAGCTCTTGCTATTCTTCTTTTCTCCTCTGGCTAACCGAGCTGGGCAGTGTTCCAGGATACGTTTGTGAACTTGACGTTGCCTACGGCCGATATACTTTGCTCCACACGAGCAAGTGAATTGATAAATACACATTGAAGTGGCCAAAGACGGTATCTTGTCCTTAACGTTAGACTGGATTAACTGTCTGCAGGAGAATGTTATACGTAGAGTGGCTGTTGGGAATGTCTTCTTCAGACTTCTTGAAAGGCGGTTTCTCAGAATTTCCGCTGCGATGTCACCTTTGAATTCTAGGTTCATGAAGAGAGTCTTCTTAGGAACCGTTGTGATATTTGACCCCAACGGCTTCTCCTTCATGTTTTCGTCGATGAATCTTGGCGGATACCCATTCTCTAGTAGGGTTTCACGCAATAAATTTAATTCTTTCTCCACCGTGTCTTCTGAAGAAATTTCTCTAATCCTTCAGCACAATGTACGTACCAGTTTCTCTTTCGGGTCAGTGGAACAAAGCTCTGGAAGTTGATAAACTGTCCAGTCCATGTTGGCTTACGGTATATCGATCTTTGGATCGTACAGTCGTCTCTTCTGGTGAGTAATACATCGAGGAATGAAAATGCGTTGTTTGATTCGCGTTCTAAGGTGAATCTTATTGATGGATGCGCTGCGTTGAAGGTTTTGAGTTATGTGTTTAATTATAATTACGATTGTACAGCTCATGAAAATGAATCGTCGAAAAGAAAATTTATTTATTTACAGGAAATCCCGTGGATATTGAAATGTCTCACAGCATTCAGTTTATTCGTTTGAAATTCATATTTCCTGTCTTTATATTTATGATTCAATATTCACATTTGTTTTGTGAGTGGAGACGGTTTCGGAAGTTCAATAAAGCAGAAAATCGTTATCAACGTATTTAGATAATCAAACTGGATTGACTTTTACTTCGCTTTTGATCCAAAATGACGACAAAAAATTACAAAAAAGCAAAAGGATAATATTTTAACAAGTTAAAAATTGATTAATAATCAACTTACTATCACTAGTTACATTGTTGTTAGATAATATGACTATAAGGCAGAGTAATGCCTGTAGTAACAAATTTTCCATGATTCAAAATCTCTCGTCAGTCTATGTTGTCAACTGCAAAAGAATTTTATGCTTGAATTTCTCAAATATAGCCTTTTTATAGTTAGTTACACATGAACACACACCATGTATGTCTATGGTGCACATGTGTGTATCTCATTTATTGTGTTCACCTACCTATCTAACGATGCAGCTATATTTGACAAGTAATACAGCATAGCACGTAGTATATAAAAACAATCATTAGTACATTGGTTACAGAAAACCACAACAATATATTGATCTGCGGTCACTCTTACTGTCTATGGTCACCATTCATTTGAAGGCGAATCAACCAATCCTTTCTCTCAACATAGACAGACTGATAACTCATTCCAAATTAAGTAGGTTTATCGATGGTTAGTTTGTAGGGGGTAATTTGATTTACGCAACGTTTCCCTATGGACAGACAAAACTTAGCGAACCATTGAGAAACACCATGAAATAGTGTAGTTCTGTTTCACCTCCCTTGTTTTGGTCTCATCGTCAGTACTCATCTATTGAATTTTGAACACAGGATCTTCCAGTTACATGGCAAGCTTATAGACCATTTAGCTGCAACGGCACGACTCAATGTCCACTGTGTGAATTCTGGCTCCTGCCGATTCCTAATTTTACAGGTATACCCGGTGGATACGTACAGCTAATGTTGGTTATCAATGCTTCTCTGGTTGGCATCAAACTGTAGTGAAACATAAAATAAATCAAATTCTTACAAACTAACTCTTGTTGATTATTCTGATTCCACTAGTGACTACCTGCAAATCTAATTTACCTGGTTTGATTTCTAGTGGTAAACCCTCACCAGTGGTCTACCCACTTGGGGATGAGGACAAATACTCGCTCCGGATGACACTGGCTAGTACCAGTCACGCTAAAATCACCCATCTCTGGAGGTTTAAAATTCGTAAATTTAGACATGAAATTGCTCCGGCTTCTCATCAACCTGCGAAAAGTCGAAAGATATTATTAAGTTTATCTTTAGAAACAAGTTGTACATACTTGCAAACAGTTCACATGTAAACAGAAATCACTCATGAACGATACTGCTTTTCATTTTAAAAAATCACATAGTGTTATACAGGATTCTTTGCCGTTTCAGATAAATATTATTCCTGATAATAATATTAACAATATCATATCATGATGCTGTCATACAGTGATGAGGCAATAATTTGTCAACAAAACGACAAAAATAGCTGCATAACAATGCATGATATTATCGAAATAAAAATTGTATCGATAATTGAGCTGTATCCTACTAAAGTGGACATGATTTATCCTTTCATCAAAAATCAATTCCTCATCATATGTTTAAACAATTTCGATCATACACAACTGAGAATTCCGGCATCATGTAATCAAATAAAAGCCAGGGTGAAAATATTCAGTTACCATGGCAAAGACAGATTGATAACGGCTCCTTTCTGAACGCATAAATCAGGTTGCAGGCGCTTGATAGTGATCGCTTCTGCAAACTTAAGGAGTATTGAATTCTTCTGCTTATGGATAATTGTGAAGGATCTAACGAGGTCTACCTCATGTCCCATGTCAAGGAGATGCCTGGCGATGGCACCCGTTAATGCATTTTTCTCTCTGGAATATAGGCTTCTTAGTACATGTTCAGAAAATCGGAGGTAGGCCCTTCTTTATGTTCTTTCAATGTAACTGCTCCACAAATGCGTGTACAATTGTATTTACAGTTGAAGTTAACATGAGATAGATATTTGTTGACTTTTGTTTGCACCAAAGAGCAAGTTGTTTGACAGACGAGAACCAGCTTAGCTGTGGGATAGTCTGTGACTAGTGAAGTCCTCAATCTTCTGTTGACAATCGGTGTTATATTTTCACCGTTAAAATCAGTTTCAATGTAGATGGGCTATTTTGCCCACTGATATCTGCTCGATAATTGAGACTTCAAATCTAACGTACTTGTTAATGAATCTTTAGTGGTAACCATTGCTTTTCAAGACCATTTTGAGAAACAAAGCTTATTCCTCTAATCGCTCTGTAGTATAGCGTCTTGACTAGTGTCCATGGAAAGCCACTCGTACAAAAACTATTAAAATATAGTTGAACTTTATTTAGACAACTTAGAAATTTCAACCAGGCAGTGAAAGGAATAAAAAGTATTGAAATGCTACTTTCCATAAAAATTTCTGCTTCACATATGTTGGCATATGATTCAACTACCTGTAGTTGAAACGATGATTCTAGATTAGTGAACTATACAACATGATTGGTGCTGGTTATTGTTGGCGGTGGTGTTACTCATAATTGGTTGTCTTCTTCACCTCCATTGTCTCTGTGTTCACCTGGTGTCCTGTCTTCTCTCTCTGCAACTTCTGCCAGTTTGTTACTTTTTGCGTATAGGTCTTCAAGATTGTGTGACATTATGCATCTATCATCTGCGAAATCTAGAGCTTCTACTGTCTCCTTACCGGGAGTTGAGCTTTTTGCTGTCTCCTCACTCCCAGGCACAGTCTGATGCATTATCCATTCCACTGTAATTAGGAATATCACTGGTGATAAAAAACAACCAGCTCGTTTTACCCCTGTATTCATTACGAACGCCTCGCTCAGTTTTCCGTAGTGGATAACCTGACACGTGGCATTGTCATATGGTCAGCTGCAAAATGAGGTTGAGGTTTTTGAAGAATAAAATGGTTCGGCAAGTTGCTTAGCGATTAATTTTGCTCTTGGTTTCCTCGTTTGGTTTCAACAATTTACTGGCGTCTGAAAGTAGATGTGGGATTTTATTAATGCAAACTTTGTGATCGATAATAACAACACTTGCACCCTTGTCAGGGCGTGTTAATAGCTTACCTTTTTACTGTGTCAACAATTTAAGTTATTGTTGTTTGCGAGATTCAGTATGTCATCGTGTGTGTGTGTGTGTATCAGTCTCTGGTGAACTTTTCGCCATGGACTTCATTTGTTTACGAAAAGCTTCAAAAGAGAACAACGGTTATCAGACAAAGAAATACTTCGAAATATTCAATAATTGCGTCATTCAATAAATCACTGCCTACCCCATATCATTAGACATGAATATAAGGGTTTTCTTCATATTCTTATATTCTTCTGCTCGCCGTTTTGCCGCCAGGTAGCGGAAATATCAGAGTTCAGTGACTCACTTTCCACCAATCACAGTTATGTTCATCACCTCACAGTTTCCAACCGTGTAACTGAGTTTTCCCTATTTTACTCCGTTTTGCACAGATTCTTTAATCTGTCTACAGAGTTCTTCATAAGCGTTCATCCCACTCACACACGATCTCCACAAGATCAGTTTTGGGTGGTAAACCCGTGGTTTTCCTACTCAAATTCCAGTCGATAGTTCTAGTGTTATGTTACGTCACTCAGTGTGGATTTCTTCTACGAAAAGAGGAGCGACAATCGAAACGAGTTCACAAACGACACGTTGAGTGAAACGTATGATCCAAAACATAGGATTCACCTGGAATACGATACTACGTGAAACAAAATCTAACGGAATATAGTATACAAAGGTGAAACTGTGAGGAGCCTGTGGCACAGTCATTGTGCACCAACACGAAAACCAAGAAAACTGTGTGAAAAGCGATTCACTGAAGATATGAAAAGAGCGAGGATGACAGTAACAGAATAATGGTATACGTGTAAACAAAAGTGAAAAGTAGTTATTCTGCCTAGATATATTCATACATTTTCACAAATGATAGATTTATTTCCCTTCCTACGTAAGTTGCCACCCAACCACCCCCACACACACACACACACGACAACATGACAGAGCATGACCGCCTATAATTGAAGATGGTTAACTGCCTCATTCCCTTCACTTTGACCATAAGCTTGTGGAAATACATGCATCCACACAATCAGATTTCCCTACCTGCTACCATCCATTATTCAATTCGGAGCAGTCTGTATTCACCTTGGAAGTCGATTGTATTTCATGGGGAGCGAAACGCATTCTGTTTTCCACAGGTATCAAAATTAAATCACACATTATCCTACTTGTAACTTCATAAAAGCAATGAAATTTATTTTCTGTATTTTACGCTTTACTAACAGCCTACTACTACTTCTAATAATATTTATCCTTCTTTTTCTTCTTTTCTTCGTCTTTATCTGCTTGACCTACATTCTGCGGTATCCTCCCTATTGAACATTATCAAATTATTCTCATTTAATTATCTTTAGTTAAGTCACGTTTATTTTGTCTAAATTAAGAAATGTAAGCAATGTGATAATGAGGTGAGTCTTTATTACTCTTTTCAGGTTGTGTTTTCTCTGTTTGTTTGTTTGCTTGCTTGTTATGTTGAAATATTTGCGTTTGTTTTTCTCTTCTATGTCCATTTCATAGTCAGTTGAGTGTGTAGTTTACTCACTTAGCTAAGGTAAGAATGGTTGACCCCGAGAAGATAAGATATTTAGAAAAAAGCTCAGCAATTGCAATGCATGCACTAACACACAACCACACAATAGGGTGGGAGAGGGTTAAAATTCTAAAAAGTAATCTAGGTAGGTGGAGAGAGAGAGGTTGATTACTGAATCCTTGTTCATCGAGTCTACACCCAACACATGCAATAGGAATGACTCGTCACTCATACCTGAAATATGGAAAATACTATTACCAATCAAATCAAGTGAAAATCAAGAGAAAAACAATGGAACTATATAAATGAATTTAGGAAGTCGTGTGATTACCTTGATATGATTATGAGCAATAAATTGTGCTCGAAACGTCATCAGTAAACATTACTGTATAACGCTGTGAGACTTTATCAAAACAAAATTTACCCATAATGGAATTACACTCTACCACAGTGCACAAGTTTTATTCTTATATCAATGAATTTAATTAAATGAAAATATCATCATAATATTCAAAACAAGGGATACCACAGAATATAGGTTAATTAGAAAAAGATGAATAAATAAAAGAAAACAAAATAGCAGTATTAAGTTATTGCTAAACGATGAAGAACATTAGA